CTGAATGGCTAAGTAGCAGTTCTGCAGAAAAGGACCTGGGGATTACAGTGGATGAGAAGCTGGATATGAGCCAACAGTGTGCCCTTGTAGCCAAGAAGGCTAATGGCATATTTGGGGTGCATCAGCAGGAGCATTGCCAGGAGATCTAGAGACCTGAGTATTCCCCTTTATTTGGCACTGGTGAGGCTGCATCTGGAGTATTGTGTCCAACTCTGGGTCCCCCAGTAAAGAAAGGATGTGGACACATTGGCGAGAGTCCAGTAGAGGACAACTAAAATGTTTAGGGGGCTGGAGCACATGACTTATAAGCTGAGGCTGAGGGATTTGGTCTTATTTACTTTGCAGAAGAGAAGCGTGACTGACGGGGGATTTGACAGCAGCTTTCAACTTCCTGAAGGGGGTGTCCAAAGAGGATGGAGAGAGGCTGTTCACAGTAGTGATGGATGCAGAACAAGGAGCAAAGTTCTTAAGTTACAGTGGGAGAAATCTAGATTGGATAGTAGGAAAAACTATTGAAATCCTAGAAGAAGCCAAATTTATGCAGAAGAATTGGTTTAACCTTTGGTTGCATTCTTTCCTTAATAAAGCAAAACCCTATTAAGAGGCTGAATATGGATTCTGCTGGAGTGCATGACCTACGCAGACAGACTGAAGGATTTGGATTTGTTTAGTCTGCAGAAGAGAAGAGTGAGGGGGGATTTGACAGCAGCCTTCAACTTCCTGAAGGGAGGTTCTAAAGAGGATGGAGAGAGGCTGTTCTCAGTAGTGACGGATGGCAGAACAAGGAGCAATGATCTCAAGTTACAGTGGAGGAAATCTAGATTTGAAGCACTGGGATGGGTTACCTAGGGAGGTGGTGGAATTTCCATCCCTAGAGGTTTTTAAGTCTCAGCTTGACAAAGCCCTGGCTGGGTTAATTTAGTAGGGATTGGTCCTGCCTTGGGCAGGGGGCTGGATTTGATGAGTTCCTGAGGTCTCTTCCAGCTCTATGATTCTATGATTCTATAGCTGCCCTGTGGAGGTCTGCACTGACCCTTGTCCTGGCAGAGGACAGAGCTGGGGGCAATCTGTCAAGGGTACCCATGACAGAAAACAAAGTGTAGGAATAAATGGTAAGTTTTCAGAGTGGAGAAAGGTAACTAGTGGGGTCCCCTAAGGGTCCATCCTGGGACCAATCATATTCAACTTATTTATAAATGAGCTAGAGAATGGGGTAAACAGTGAGGTGGCAACATTTGCAGATGATATCAAACAGCTCAAGAGAGTTAAGACCAAAGCAGACTGTGAAGAGCTTCAAAAAAGATCTCACCAAACTAAGTGATTGGGCAACAAAATAGCAAATGAAATTTAATGTTGATAAAAGTAAAGTAATGCACATTGGAAAAGATAATCCCAACTATACATTCAATATGATGGGGACTAATTTAGCTACAACTACGAGAGAGAAAGAGATCTTGGAGTCATTGTGGATAGTTCTCCGAAAATATCCACTCAGTGTGAAGCAGCAGTCAAAAAACCAAACAGAATGTTAGGAATCATTTAAAAAGGGATAGAGAATAAGAGAGAATATCTTATTGCCTCTATATAAAACCCTGGTATGCCCATATTTTGAATAACACATATAGATGTTGTCACCTCGTCTCAAAAAAGATATATTGGCATTGAAAAAGGTTCAGAAAAGGGCTTTAAAAAAAAAACCGATTAGGGGTTTGGAACGGGTCCCATATGAAGAAAGCTGAAGAGTCCAAGTCTTTTTAATCTTAGAAAAGAGGAGACTAAGGGAGGATATGATAGAGAACCACAACTGGTGTGGAAAAAAAAATGAATAAGGAAAAGTTATTTACTTGTTCCCATAATATAAGAATTAGGGGTCACCCAAGTGAAAATAGGCAGCAGGTTTAAAACAAACAAAAGGAAGTTTTTCTTCACGTAGTAAACAGTCAACCTGTGGAACTCTTTGGCAGAGGATGTTGTGAAGACTAGGGCTACGTCTACACTGGCCCCTTTTCCGGAAGGGGCATGTAAATTTCACCAGTCGTCGTAGGGAAATCCGCGGGGGATTTAAATATCCCCCGCGGCATTTAAATAAAAATGTCTTATTAACTTATTCCCACAATTTAATAACTGGAGGTCACCAAATGAAATTAATAGGCAGCTGGTTTAAAACAAACAAAAGGAAGTTTTTCTTCACTTGGTGCATATTCAACTTGTGGAACTCCTTGCCAGAGGATGTGGTGAAGACCAGGACTTTAACAGGGTTAAAAAAAAGGGCTAGATAGAGCCATGGAGGTTAGGTCCATCAGTGGCTATTAGCCAGGATGGGTAGGAATGGTGTCCCTAGCCTCTCTTTGTCTGGAAATGAGTGACAGTAGAGGAATCACGTGAGGATTACCTGTTGTGATCCCTCCCTCTGGGGCATGTGGTATTGGCCACTGTCAGCAGACAGGATTCTGGGCTAGATGGACCTTTGGTCTGACCCAGTATGGCCATTCTTAAGTTCTTATATTTTTATGTTTTTATGTTGGGGCATAATTTCAAAAGTCCTTAGGACTCAACTGCTCTCCCGGCGTGAGGAGGGGGAGTAAGTGGATGACTCCAAAACAGTCCTTCTATCACTTAAAATATACCATATCAATTTAAACTAAAATTAGTTCAAATTGCTACTATTAAAAAAAAACCAACAAAAAACACACCTAAAGTGAGATCTCGAATGCCAAGTTTCAACCTAGAATACATTAAGGAAAAGTTGGGTGTATCTTAGGAAAAAGTGTCTTTATAATGGATCTGAAGCAGATTCTAGAATAATCACAATTATATTAACAACCAAAATAATAATAATAATTATATCTTGAACTTATATGGCACCTTTCATTCAAGGATCTCAAGACACTCTCAAAGATGGGGATTTAGTTGGGATTGGTCCTGCCTTGGGCAGGGGGCTGGATTTGATGACCTCCTGAGGTCACTTCCAGCCCTAGGAGTCTACGATTCTACAATTCTACAGATGGAGAAATTGACGTGAAAAGTTAGATATCTTCCCCACAGTACCACAGTAAGACTACAGCAGAATCATGAAGAGAAACATAAAACTCCTTCATCCCAGTTACCCAATCTAACCACGAGAGCAGCAACATTTTCACAATAATCAGACTTTAGGCAACAGCTTGTTTAGGTGATTACTTTTTAGAAATGGCAGTGACCTTGTTTTAGAAAAAAAGAAAACTTTTTCAAAAGGATTTATTTTATGAAAAAACAACAACAAATCTGTATGTTTAAATCATGTTGGGCCATGACATTTAAAACAAACAACAAAAAACACACAAGTAAAGTCTTCTGAAGGATGTCCATGAAAACAAGTAAAGGGTAAAGGGATTTCTGGACCAATTTTTGAAAGAAGCCTGTTAGTAACAGTATGGATGTTTATTATCAGAATTACCTGAAGATAGCAGGTATGTATTTTGAAGTTCAACATAGTTCTACTGATCTGCACATAGTGGCAGCCAGTGATTGAAGGGCTGGTTATTTGCTACTACTAATCCATTCACTTTTATTCTTTATACACATTAACAGGCACCAAATGATGGTGAAATTCTTCCGTGTTATCAATGAAACAGTAAATAAAACTAATTTAGATTATGTCAATAGAAGGCTTGGGGAGGAATTATTTAACAGAAGTTTGTAAATGCTGCAAAATCACAATTCTGTTCTAGGGTTTTGGTCAACACTTCTGCCTATCTTTTGGGGAAAGGAAAAGCAAACAATACTGCAGTCAAAGCTGACACTTTTGTTTAGATTCGACTGGGAACCATTAAAACAATTTAAACACTCACTAAAAGAGCGTGGCTCTTCATCTATGTAAAACAGCATTTTGCCAGTATATACCGCCTCGCAGGATACTCTGCAGGCTTGTGTTCTGTGGGAATACTCAGGAATTTAAGCTGAATGAACTAAAGGTGTGAAGTTGAAGTACACTAAACCTCAGTGTGGATGCTGGCATTCACAAGTAAAATGGTCTTAGTCTGCAAAGGGGAGCGAGGGGTTCTATCAAAGCTCTGAAGCTTAAAGCGGAGGTAATGCCCAGAGTTACTATATTGCCATTCTGTGTCTGAGGAAAAGGATTCTTTCTCTCAGGACCAGTGAAGATTTCCCTATTGCAGCGGTTCTCAAACTTTTTGGGCTCTGGAGCCCTTTACATGTGTAAAAATTTATGTGAAGCCCCAGCGGTCCACTGATTGTATGTGTTGTACCTATCGATGTTTCCAATTTGTCAACCTTGCGGAACCCCTGAAGATGTCTTGCGGAGCTCTGGGGCTCCATGAAGCACACACTGCTCTATTGGATAGGCTGGTTGTTTGGCTTGAGAACTAGAGAAACCATTTGGCTTCCAGGAATATTAACAGTGTTGTTTCTTCTAAAAGAGCTAGATTAAAAAAGTATTTTCCTCCTGGTACAGAGGCCATTCTCATGAACCATAAGAACTTCTAATTTTTTTCTTTTGTTTAAACACTCACCCTTTCCATATGATTCTCACATTCCAATTTATTAACTGTACAAGAGTAATGCACAAAGGCCCTATCAGTATAGGGGCCCTGGTGTGATAGGTTCTTTACAAACACACAGGTAAATGCAATCCCTGACCCACATAGTTTACATCTTTCTAAAACAGTTGGTATTTCATATCCTTCCCCGCCCATCAGATTCTGCACTGCAAATGCTAAACATCTTTTATCAGGGTATACCACTTCAGATATGTGACAGCTATTATCTAAAGCCCCAAATGAAGAATATGCTTGGCTTTCACATTATGGACTTTCTAATAATCAAAGTTGGTACCTAAAATTACCATATTTCTGGTCATCAGCTAGAAACTATTCTTAAAGGGACTTTTATTAGTAATGGATTGGCTAATATCTTATCAGAAAACCATCTCCCCATTGTATTATGAATTTATGTTAAAACAACAATTTCATAGATAAGAAAATTAAAACAAATCTACTTACTTATTTCATTTCTTAATTCATTTACTTTTTCTCCCAGGGATTTTGCTTCAGCAAACCTAATGACAGAAACACAGGAATAGGTAGAGTTACTCAACTACAGCTAGATATATTGGTTCAGAATAAATTTTCTAACAAATCAAGACCATATTTGTCTTTGCAATTTTCCTGAAAACTCATCCTGGTTATTGGTAAATATTTGTTAGTACAGCTGGTCAACATTATTTTTAAATTAAACAGATTTCCATTGGAAAAGGTAATTTTACTCAACCTGAAAGCATCAATTTTGATAAAATTTGACAGAAAATATTCTAAATGAATAATGATTTTCTTGTCTTATTTTGATAAAATCAAAAAGTTTCATTTAATTTTGGTTTGACTTTTATACTATATGAACATAGTACTTTTAATATTATGTGCCACATTTAATACAATAATATAAAAATCAAATCAAAATGAACTGAGACAAAGTCAAAATTAAACCTTTTTACCTATTACAAACTGCTTTTTACCTTATCGAAATTAAATGATTTGATGGCCCTAAACTGAAATTTTGTGGGAAGTTTATTTCATGAAAAGTTTTGAAATTGTAGCTTTTCATTATAATTCAGAATATTTTAAAAAACCCATAATGTCAGAATTTCTTAGGGAACAGAAATTCCAATTTGTATTTTTAAAGATTCACCGAATAGTCTGGATGAAAAATTTTCAGTGTCTGAGCTATATGTAAACAGCTCACATCACTATGTGTTATTTGTGGTGTGTATCTTGTCACCCAAATCATGTAGTAAGGCTCCCTAATATAATATTAGATAGGAGAATAAGAAATGATGAATAGATGAAGTTATTAATATTCTTGTTTGTCCACAGGTACCCTTCTTTATATGTGAATGTAGGTCTTCTAACAAAAAACCCAGCCAGTTTTGCAAACATTTGTTGAACTGCAAAGCATCCATATGAAACCTTTCAAACATGGTGCCAGAACATGGTGGAATTGAATCAATGACTTGAAAATCCAAATAAATGTATGGAAACAGTCTTTGCAGTATTTAACTAGCTCTACGCATAGTGGGAAATGAGGTTTTAAAATAGGACATTTCACTCATTTTATTTCTTACTATGTAGAAGTTTTATATTCTCCCAGCAAATACATAATAAATGCTCATAAGTTAAATACCTTTTCTTATAATCACATTTTTATCCTTAATTCTCTTTTACATTGTTCCAGTAATACTACATTTTCCTTTTACTTAATACTGCACATTTGTACCCTCCTTATAGTGGCACAGGTTGAGCCCTTATAGTTTTACCATCTTGGAATAGTGGTTTGACAGAAAAATTGACCTTGGTCAATACTTGGTTGGAAGACTAAGGACAAGCTGGTCAGCTGCAGGAAGTGGTGTTGGTGATTCCGTAAATGTCTTTCCCCTCTGTTTTTGTACTGAGATAATTAATGCTCATGTTTTTGGGAGTGTTGAAAAAGAAAACTGAGGTTTTGACCACTTGTGGTAAATAAAGATCCCATGGCAATTTTTGCCAGAGTAAGAATGTTAATCCTGGTGGCCTGGGCAAGATTTAATGCTGGCAATAACATTCCTACTCCAACTTTCAATTATTGTTAACCTTCAGTCCTAACCTGTTGTGTGGTATTTCTATGTCTGCCTAAATTGTTGCTTTATTGTATCATAAAGATGACTGCATTTCAGTGGCAGGTGATTGATTCTTCTGTGTGTAACACATGTGCAGCTATTTTAGGCCCTTCTGGATATATCATACTGTAATGAATAATACTTCTAGTGCTGTATATTTCCAAAGCACTGTACAAACAACCTCTATAACATCCTTAGGGAGAAGGTATTGGTATCCCCATTTTAAAGGTATTGGTATCCCCATTCAGTGGGGAAACTGAAACACAGAGCAGTTAGTAACTTGGCCTAGGCCACACAATGAGTGTAGTGAAATTCATAAGTTCCTAGCTCCTACTTCTTTGCTCAGTCACCTATACCATGTTGTCTTGATGTAGTATTCATAGTAATTTCTCCTCATAAAGTACAATATTAGTAGTTTAAGTAATGTAAATAATGGAAAATTAGTTGCCTGTTTGAGTGACAGATGAGGCTGTAAGCTCATTGGGGTAGAGGATATCTTTTTGTTCTCAGTTTGCAATACAGGCAGTCCCCGAGTTACGCAGATCCGACTTATGTCGGATCCGCAGTTACGAACAGGGCTTTTCTCACCCCGGAGGACGGGAGCGGCGGGATGCCCAGATGAGCCGCGGTCCCGCTGCCCGTGTTCTCCGGGGCGAGAAAAGCTGCTCCCCGTCTCCTTGGTCTGCTGGTCAGACCAGGGAAACGGGGAGCAAAGCCTCGGAGGACGCCCGCAGCGGGACCATGTGCACAGGCTGTTGTGCAATCCCCAGGCCGAGAAGGACAAGTGATAGGCATGGTCAGGCTGTAGTCCACAATGGTGGGGGGGGAAACCCCCCTCCCAAGATGCCATCCAGCATAGAAGCGTCAGGTCTGAGGTTCTACTTCAGATAGGGAACTTTGTCCCTTGGCCTTGGCGTAGGCCTGCAAGAGCTTCTTAATTTTCATCTGCACCTGCTCCTGGGTGCAGGTGTGCTCCTTCTGGGCCAGGCGTGCTGTCATCCATCTGCAGAAATCAGTGTTCCTGGTGTGAGATCCTGGAGATTGGACTCCTCACCCCAGACTTCAGTGAGATCTAGGATCTCTGCACCAATCCAGGATGTGGCCCTCTTCTGCCCCTGGCCAAGAGATTCCAAGGTAGCTGCAGACATGCTTGCAGCCATGGGGGGCTTGGAGGGAGCACTGGGGTCTGCCATGGCAGCAGGGAAGTTCTGACTCTTCCCCCCAACCTATGGGCCAAATCCTGAGTTCCTTCCTCACAGTTTGTTAGTCTTTATTCAGGTAAAACTATGATTCAGTAAAAATAAAATTAAGACTTCTAGGTTCAACCTGCTCATTGAATTCAGGGAAAAGTATTGTTTCTGGTTCTTTTCCAGGAAGAAATCCAGCATAAGGCTGATCTCAAAGGAGACTGGTATTCAGTATGTAAACAGTCGGTTACCAGTGAGTTAAGCAACAGTATTTGTGCAGTCTGTAGGAAATTCACATGTAGCCAGAGTGCATATACAAGTCCGTCAAGAAGAATGTTGTTGCTAAGACGTGGATTTTGGCTGCTTGCCATCATAAGGAAAACTCATAGGATGAAATCCTTGTCCCATTGGAATAAATGGGAATTTGGCCACTGACTTCAAAGGGGTAAAGACTTCATCCTTAAAATGCAAATATGATATATCCAAAATAATTTTTGCTGTTCATTCAATCAGCATAAAAGCTGATGCTTATAGAGGCCATCAAAAGGGAGAACCAATATACTTGCTTTAGCACTCATTTATTACAGAACTTTAGGTGGCAAAGCTAGAATCCATTAAGGGTTATTGCAGACTTAATCACTATAGGCCAAATTCTAACTACTGACCACAACAGAGTTAAATTAGAAGTCAATTTGACACTGAGGTATCAAAGCATATTAATGAAAACTTCTGAGCAGAGAAGAAAAGGCAAAAATAGCTTGAGTTGGCAGGTTAGAAATGTAAGACTTAAAGAGGAAAATAAGTAAGAAATCTGATGAAGGAGAAGAAAGTAAGAGCTTGTCTACACGGTGTGTGTCAAATGGGACCATCATTAGGATCCACACAGGCCAAACAGTGCATGGCACATTAGTGTGCACTAGAATTTACACCCCTCTGGCACACATTAAGGAACCATGGCTGTGTCCAGACTCAGGGGTTTTTTCGAAAAAAGTAGCCTTTTTTTGAAAAAACTTCACCTGCGTCTAGACTACAGCCGTGTTCTTTTGAAATTAAATCGAAAGAACACGGCTTTTCTTTCGACGGTGGTAAACCTCATATCACGAGGAAGAACGCCTTTTTTCGAAAGTGCTCTTTCGAAAAAAGGCATTCTTGAATGCCAACAGGGCTTTTTAGAAAGAGAGCATCCAGACTCACTCACTGCTTTCTTTTGAAAAAGCGGCTTGCTTTTTCGAAAGTTCCGCTTGCAATCTAGACGCTCTTTTTTGAAAGAGGCTTTTTCGAAAGTATCTTTCGAAAAAGCCTCTTTCGAAAGAGGCTTGCAGTCTAGACATAGCCCATAAGAACAAGCCCTTAGACCAGCTTTACATTATACCTCTAAGTTCAGTATGATCTTATAATTGGAAACATATGCTGTGGCTGGATTTAGAATGCCTGATGCAGCATGGGAAACTACAATGTAGTCAGAGATGTCCTCAGGATGTATGGGGCCCTACACAGTACTATTAAACTGGTGCCCTCATGGCAGCAGGGGGCAATGATTTTTTAGAGATGTGATTTTATAATCTCCAGCAACACACTAAATATTTTTTAAACAAATTTTAAACTGAGGTCCTGTACTCTAACACAGTAATTTCAGAAACTGACAGTGTATACCTGGGGCTGGCAAATGCCTGTTAAATGGCTTAATTACCACATGAATGGCTTTCCCCTGTGATGTTTTGCTAATTGATCTGGCATGTATTTTTACTTTCAAGTTAACTAGATCCTCTCTGGAGAAAGCTGAGCCACAGAACAGGGATAGGAAGAGGCAGGAAGGTAAGCATTAAGAGCCAGTGGTGTCCCAAATTTTTGGGTGTGTCAAGGCTGTTCTCCACTCTGGCACTCCAAAGTGGGGTGCTTGCAAGAGGCCTTAGATAGCCTGCCTTTATTGGCTCTTTAATAAAATAAAAAAGATATACTTGATAAAGCATACTTTGCTAGGCGTTACAGAGCAGCTGAGCAAAGAACAGATTAAAACACAGAGGAAAATTATATCTCTGGGCTGTAGCTTAAATATGATGTGTGGGGGAGGGAAGGCATGGATCCACACAGAGGCTATGTCTACACTATGATGGTTTTTCAGAAAAAGGTACGCAAAATGCGCTCTGCAATTTGCATACCTTTTTCCGATACTTTTGTTGGAAGAAGCTTTTCTGAAATTTGGGAAAAGCCTCCTCTTTTGGAAGATCGCTTTTTCCTGGTGGAATGAGGAAGACAGGGCTTCTGAAAGAGTGCGATTGCTCTTCTGTGAAAAAAAAGCGGAAGAGCAAACGTGTTCCTTGGACATGGCGGAGTTTTTTCAGGATATCTCTGGTATCCCAAAACCACCACCCCTGCAGTCTAGACGTACCCAGAGAAGTTTAACTAAACAACCAAAACAAAGAAAAATACCCTGATCATGAGTAAATACATCTTTTCCCTTATTTATTCATGATTCCTCCATGGTCCAGTCTACTTCCTCTAAGGCATGGTAGTCCTGCCTGGGTTCAAATTATTCTCTTTCTCCCAACTCCTGGCTTAAAACTCAAAGAGAAAATGCAGCAGATAAATATTTACAATTTAAATTTCAGCACTGTATCTAATTGGTTCTCCTGGCTCCCTGCTAAAAATACCCTTACTTACCTGAGTTTAATCCTTTAGTCACCGAGTGCTGGCCCACATGTCTCCTATCCATCACAGGTGCTCTATATTTATCTGTGTATTTATCTGTGTAAGGATGATTCTGATTGTAGTGACTTGAATGGGATGATTTTTTACCCATGATTCACTGGAAAATTAGATTTAAGATTTTTCTTCACTTCAAGGAATGGATACTAAGGGAAGCCTATCTTGTCCTTAATGCCTTGGCAGGCACAGACATTATTAACCTTTTTGGAGCTCTAGCATAGGACATTAAAGGCCCAGAACTCTGCCTCTATGTTTTTACAAATATAGGCATTTAGGCAGTGCTAGTAGGTAGCAAAAGTTTTTGTTTTTGTGCCAGATGCATTCATGTCTTCGGGAGTGCCCTTTTTATCTCAAATTACTTGGGGTACATCTACACTAGCTCATAAGTTCGAGCTAGGTAGGGTAATGAGGGCAAGCGGAGTTGCAAATGAAGCCTGGAATTTAAATATCCCGGGCTTTATTTGCATGTTCCTGGGCACCGCCATTTTTAAATCCCCCTTAGACCGAACTCTGTGCCCACGGCTACACGTGGCATGGGGTAGGTAGTTCGAATTAAAGATCCTAATTCGAACTACTGTTACTCCTCCGTGGGCATGGAGTTCAGACTAAGTGGAATTTTAAAATGGCAGCGCCCGGGAACATGCAAATGAAACCTGGGATATTTAAATACCGGGCTTCATTTGCAACTCCGCTGGCCCTCATTACCCTACCTAGCTCAAACTAACGACCTAGTGTAGCTGTATCCCCAAGAAACTAAACCTTAATGTAACTCAGTTTTCCCATCTGTAAAATCCAGGGAAAGAAATATTAAAACACCTTTGGAAAGTGCTTTGTGATTTACAGAGGTAAAGCATTATTTACAAAATTTAAAATACACCTTTCTCTTATGTACATTGTTTTAAAGGAGCACATGAAGTCTTCTCAATCTTTTAAACAAAATTCAAGATTTTTATTGTATTTCAGTTATTCAAAGGCATCTATAGATCTGGCTCCCAGTGCCCAAGTCATTTGAATTGTTATAGTTCTTAGCATTACAGTCAAGCCTCCAGTTTTATATATTTTATGTTAAACTCACAACCAACACAAATAATATAACTAAAATGGAAATTAAAACATTCACCCAAAATAAGGGGGGGGGGAAGGAGAGCAGGGGGAAGGGGGAAGGAAGATAAAAAAGAGAAGGAAAAAAGCAATTAAAACATAATAAACTGGGAATCTAATGTTGCCATCATATGACAGAAATGGTTATGCTATTATAGCCAAAAGTATCAGAAGGAGAGGCTTGTCTCTATGGGAAAGGCATGGTAACCTTTACATATGTGCTGTGCATAAGATCCTCACTGTGCAATTTGCCTCTGGTAGTTCAGTGGCTTAATTCTAATTTACAGACTTGTGATAAATCCATTTTTAACAAACGTCATACAATTTTAAGCTGAAAATCTCCTTTGCTAAGGTTCACTGCAAGCAGCCTGAGAAATGATTTCCAAAATTATCAAGATTCCCACAGCACTTGTGGATAATGACATTTACTATATATTAGAAATCCCAAAAATGTGGGTCTGAACTCACTTGAAATTTGGGGAAATTTGAATTTGGTACCAAATTTGTAGTTTGGGCCAAATACTGAGGGGGGGGGGGAAGGGGGGGGGGGGGAAGGGGGAAGGAAGATAAAAAAGAGAAGGAAAAAAGCAATTAAAACATAATAAACTGGGAATCTAATGTTGCCATCATATGACAGAAATGGTTATGCTATTATAGCCAAAAGTATCAGAAGGAGAGGCTTGTCTCTATGGGAAAGGCATGGTAACCTTTACATATGTGCTGTGCATAAGATCCTCACTGTGCAATTTGCCTCTGGTAGTTCAGTGGCTTAATTCTAATTTACAGATTTGTGATAAATCCATTTTTAACAAATGTAATACAATTTTAAGCTGAAAATCTCCTTTGCTAAGGTTCACTGCAAGCAGCCTGAGAAATGATTTCCAAAATTATCAAGATTCCCATAGCACTTGTGGATAATGACATTTACTATATATTAGAAATCCCAAAAATGTGGGTCTGAACTCACTTGAAATTTGGGGAAATTTGAATTTGGTACCAAATTTGTAGTTTGGGCCAAATACAAAAGGAAATATGCATTTTCCCTCACAATGATTTATGTCAGAGAAATTAATAAGAACATGTATTAAATCAAAGAAATCACAGTCCTGGTTTACCACTGTGTTACTCCAATTTTATGTTGATATAACACCACTGAAATCTTTCTTTATAAATTGTTTTGTTCTTGAAAGAATGAGATGCAAGAAATTATCACATTAAATTACTCATGCACTATCATTGATCAGCATAATACAGACATTTCTAAACAAGATGGTTCAATATGTATATTTTACAGTGACAGATATATACTTATCTGCTTCTTACACTCCCATCATGTTAGTACCGGGCTGTCAGAGGATGGAAGATGTAGACATAAGAATGAAATCATGCTGTTCAGAGATGGTGAACAAAAAACAAATGCCCTCTCCTGCTCAGTGCATTTCAGAAAAAAACGCAGAGATAACCTGAGGCCTGATTTTCAGAAATACTCTGAAGGTAATGGGAATGGCAGGTGTTCAGTGCCTCTAAAACTAAGACTGTAAGTGTAGAGGGGATTATTGACAATTCCAAGGATGAAGCTAAGAAAGGGAGGAGACAAAAGGAAAAGTTGAAAGAGAGTACAAGAGTATACAAAAGTGAGAGAGGTATTATAGATCCATCTTCATGCCCTCTGATCCCCTCTCAAATACCCTCTTTGTCATTGAATGCTGTGGGAAGTGGGAATGACATAACACTGTTGGCCAGCTGACATGGATGGTGTTGTGCTATAAACTGTTATTAATGAAAGCAGTAATTATATGACTCCAACTTCCCTTGCATAATTCACAACTGTCAACACCATACTGCCATATATATTCTCTAGGACTTGTGAGAGGAGAATAATAATGCTCTGTGACCAGTCTGATTGCTGTTCATATTCTATTCTATTCAAGTTCTTATGCTATGCTCTTGAGCACCTGATGAACAATAAATCTTTCCAGCAGACACAGCTTGCTGTTGCCCAAGTTTAAATTCGAAACTTGAAACACAGTTCACACGAGTCATTGTGAGCCCTAAGAGTGCATCTACACTGCACCGTAACTCGAAATAAGATACGCAATTTGCATAGTTCAAATTGTGTATCTTATTTCAATCTCATTTCAAAATAGCTTATTTTGTAATTTGGTGCTGACTACACAGTGCCAAATATTAAAATTACCCTCTATTTCCAATTGTCCCTTACTCCTCGTGGAATGAGGTTTACAGGAACGTTGGAATAATGAGCCCGTTATATTTCAAAATAACAGGCTTGCTGTGAAGACACGGGATGACTATTTCAGGATACTCCAGTATTCCGAAATAGCGTTGCAGTGTAGACGTAGCCTTAGAGTCCTGGTTGTGTTTGTATCTCAATGTAACACTCACTCACCTCTGTTTAAGAAGCTGTTTGTTGTCTTCAATGGTTACACTGTCCACATGATCCCTCTTGAAAATTTCAAAAGCTTCCTGACGTCCAAGTGACATTTCTCCTCTCGATCCTGCCCACAAAAAAAGTCAAAACTGGCTCAGTGGCAGGAAAAGATAGTTCACATTTGCTTTATTATTGTTGCAGACAAATATTACAGCAAGCCAGTATATCAGTCCATTAGCAATCAACAGTCATTAGCACACCAGACTCCAGCTTCTGTCAAGAGAAAAGGCATTTTGGAACCAGGTAAATTTCTTACTGACAAATTTCATTGATTCACTTCAGTTGGGTGTCTTCAAACCTGAAATCTTAATTTTTCAAAATAACTTTTCATGCTTCCTTAAATAAAACCAGAGTGTAAAAAGTACAACTCAAACATGGCACATGAAAACCATCTATATTTTCATAATGGCAAATTGCATGTTTTTTCTGTATTCTTCTTCCATCCCCCACTGCTGGTTTCCAGTTAACATCACTATGCAAATGCCATGGAGCACATTACAGCATATCACATTTTAGCCCAAAGATCACATACTGATATTTTCAGTTCACGTGTGGAGATAGACTTTGGGCTTCATTTAACTGCGCATAAATGTTAACTTCCTTCAAAGACAGGTCAAGTACTGAATACATAGAACTAGGTTGAAACCTGCACAACAGAGTAACACAGTTGAGTATAGAAGCATAAGGGGAAAAAGAAATGAGAATGACACAAAACACACAAAAAACCCTGTACATCATAGGGTGGTGCCTTGTTTCTACAGACCTGCCCATTCTCTGAATTTGCTTTAATCCTTTACCCCTTTTTTTGTCTGTGTCCTATGTGTTCATGAACAAGAAAGCAGGAACACAAGGGGGCTGAGTCTTATTACATCATTTGCCACACACTATTTGCCCCTATGCATAACCTCCAATCATACCTGTATCTCAATAAAATAATTGTGCTCCCTTGCCTGTCCATCAGATAGAGCAATACTAATTTAGTCTCCAAGGGTATGTCTACACGACAGCGCTAATTCGAACTAATTTAGTTTGAACTTAATTTGAATTAGCACATCCAGACTTAAAAGCTAGTTCGAATTAGTGTTTTGCTAATTCGAACTAGCATGTCCACACTGAGTGGACCCTGAACCGAGGTTAAGGATGGCCGGAAGCAGTGCCAGCAGGGCAACAGATTAGGACTTAGAGCGTGGAGCTGCTGTCTCAGGCTAGCCGAGGGCTGTGCTTAAAGGGACCCGACCCCCACCCCCAGACAGACAGTTCTCAGGGGTTCCCCGCTTGCAAAACAGTCCTGGCTTGGAGTGTCCTGAGTGCCCACACTCGGCACATCACAGCACTCGGCCATCAGCCCAGCTGCACTTGCCGCAGGCTGCCATCCAGGGGGGAATCAATCAGGGGGCTGCAGGAGAGCTTCCACCCCGAGGAGCCCGCAGAG